GTCCGTTCCTGCGTGTTTAGCTTCATAGAGGCTTCTGACTCTCCGCTAACCAATCACACAGCTTCGCTTCAGTAAACAAACACTTTGGACTTGGAAAGCTCACATCTGTGAAAAACATCAGTTTATAGTGAACCTGCGCTCACATGCACACCTTGAACTGATGACGAGTTTATCAGAGTGTGTTTGCTGCCTGAGACGAGACAAACTGACGAGGCCGGTGAGGCCTGCAGCCGCTCGCGTCTGTTTCGATTTCTAGACTCGTATGTTGAACTCTCCGTGTTTGTGCTTTACCTGCCGGGCTGTTGAAGCCATCATCATCATCATACTGTGTAAACACAACAGTTGCTTAGAAAGTGACTTACGATGTACTCCCTGATGAGGCCGTTGCTCTTGTCGGGGGGACTCCAGGAGACCACCACTGTCCCATCCACACCATTATTATCACAGGACAGCTGCAGATTCCTGGGAGGGTCAGGCACTAAACCACACACACACACACACACACACACACACACACACACACACACACACAGAGGATGAATTATTCATATTACTGAACATCACACATATTTAAGAAGTGTTGTAAATGGGAGTCTAGCCCGTCTCTGAGGGGCAACCGCTGGACCACAGTCTCCACCACAGATCTGCACCATAGTTATGGGGACGGAGAGCTAACACGAGCAGGCAAACAGCACCAAAAGCAGAGGGTGAGGGACAGAAGCATCTGGAGGCAGCAGCGCTCCACAGGTTTAACCACAACTTCAAATTCAAACTCCGACACAGAGCAAAGTCTCCCTCTGAGCACTGCTGTGAAGGAAAGCAGGTGCTGGGTTTCCTGCACAAGGCTTCATGCATGCTTATGTATGACTTTTGCTAGCATTGCATCTGAGAGACCAGGAGGGCACCAGAGAGCGCAAACACATCCAGATGGAAGTTAAAATGAGCAGAAGTCAGAGCTGCTGGTGATCACGTGATACTCACATCCCTCTGGTGTCCTGACTGTGATCACCTCGTTGGTCTTGTGCAGTTTGCTGAGACACTGAGTGAGCACCTTCACCTGGTACGTGGTGTCGGGCTTCAGCACGGTCAGTTTGTAGCTGGTCTTGTTGCTGTGGGTATCCATAGGGGTCCACGGCAATGTGCCCACAGGCCTTAACACAAACACGAGTTCACAGGTCACACTGGCTCTTTAATACAAACCCTGTTACCAGCTGGTGTGTAACACAGCTGGCTAACAGCAGCGTGACTCTGGCATTACTGACAGCTTCTTACCTGTAGTAGATGAGGAAGGAGCAAGAGTCCTGGGGAAGGTTTTTAGGCCGGGTCCAGGTCAGAGTGATGCCACCCAGGAAATCTGGCGTCCACTGGAGGTTCTGGACTTTATAGGCCAAGGTGTCCGCTGCCAGAGAGAGAGGAGAGTAGATTCTGATGTCTGAATATTTCGACATTAACCCTTTAAGACCTACCATAGAACCAAGTCCCCCAGAGCTTATATTATATGTTTACATGCTGTGGAGCCATTTTTGGGAGCATTTCAAGTTGATATACATCAATACAACTGTTATAGCCCAAATTTTAATAATATGTCTGCATTAAGTGCATCGAAATTACATAAATTGCAAAAAAGTGCAATAAACTACAAAAAAATTGAAAATCGTTTTTGTTTTTTTAACATATATTTCTAGTTAGAGAAATTGAAGAGGCTTATCCCTCAAAACTGTAAATACAAAAAAGTTGCA